GTTCAATGATCTGTGGTCGGCACATCACACGTGTATTTGCCAGTCTCTGCTCTGTGGTGAGGGACATTTCTTTCAAGAATTCAGAAGGCGTCAGCTAGAATTTGAACCAAAAAGAACCAAACCATTTTTTAAAGTGCCAGCAATGAATAATTTGTGTCTGCAAATTTCAAGAAAATTCAGGAATGTCACTAAGTTCCCTCATAAAAATTTGTTTGTTGCTGTTGTTGTTAAGCATTGTCCAGTAGGTTTCAACTCATAGTGACTCTGTATAGGGTTTCTGAGAAGCAGCTGGTGAATTTGAACCTCTCACCTTGTGATTCTAAGCAACCTTGTGGTCAAATGCTTATCCTACAGCACTATACCAGGACACTTTAAAATATTAAAATAGCTAAATTATAGATACTCCTTAGATTATGAATGCCCAACTTATGGACAGCCCAATTTGCATGCAACCTAGAGTTAAGAAAACTAACCCCCATAAAACCTTATGTTAAAAATTCAAGGTATATATACAATGATACATAATAACAAACAAATGCTACTTTGTAAAACACATCAAAACATTATTACTGTTATATTAAAGATGATTTGGTATATCCGGAAGTCTGTCTTTAATGTTTTTTATTCATAGAACGTTACACTACATAATGTATACTAAGACAAACATTTGACTAGCTGACATTAGATATGAACCATACCTGTTTCAATTCATGTACAGATTCTACTTAAAAATACTGTTAGGAAGGGAATGTGTTTGTAATCTGGGGACTGTATGCAATCAAAACAACCATGCTTTCTGAGTACAGTAACTTGAAATGACAAGGGGTGGCTGTTCCCTTAGGATTTTGAAGGAATCACACAAAAGGACCTGGTGAGTAGAAGTCAAGAAATTGTACAGGAATGTGTCCAAAAAGCTTAACATCTATGATCTGAAGAGGCCTCTGAGGTCAAAGCACTAATTTCCTAAAATTATTTACAGCCTTCAGAGTTAATAATTTTGAAAGATTTTTATTTCTTAATTGAAGTTAAAACATGCGATCAGAACTACTGATTGTTAAACTATTGTGTTATAATGGGTTATAGAGAGATGTGATCAAATGTACACGCCCTGGGACATGTGACTGCACCATTTAGGGATGAGTTTGAATGTCTCAGAAATCACAAGAATACACACAGAACATGTTTTGAAAGAGCCCAAGCCAGTCGTCAGAACCAGAACACACCAAAAAAAACACAAAGGAAAAGGGTAAAAGTGTTGATTAATACTTTCTAATGTTGTGAGAAGAGCCATGGTGTGGCACTGTAGGATAGGCATTGGATTGCTAATAAGGTCAGTGGTTCAAACCCATCAGCTGCTCTCTGAAACCCTATACAGGGTCACTGTATAGCAGTGACACACAGCAAGAACAATGTTATGAGGGAAAAAGTGTAATTTATCACATAATAAAACTAATCCAACAAGACATTAACCAAAGATTGTTTCTGGCTGGAAATAACAACCAGCTTAGTTCCTGCTGCTCTAGACAGTTCACAGTGTTCTAAGGCTTATTTTATGTGCAAGGAGACTGGTACCAATGGAAAGCTTAAGCATGAGCCCAGACTTAAAAATACTCCGATCATTTAATTTAGTGGATTCATCGTGTCTTAAAGTCAAGAATGCTTATTTTCTGACAAATTTAATTTTTGTGATTAAGGGCATTAAAATGAAGACCTAGTTCTAATATAGCCTTCAACTTGGTTTTTAAAATCTGTTTTATTGGAGCCCAGATTAGATTATCATCTGTGTTGTGATTTAAATAAAAACAATGACTTTTTAGCCAGCAAAAAGCTCAAGAGTTGTTTAAATGTGGAATAACTACTACTACACCAAAGAGAATGACGACTGATGATGTTTCTCTAATTGGAATGCAACTTAAAACCAGTTTGTAAATAAAGGGACAACTATCACTAGCACTGTAAAATGTTATAGTTATTTCCTATAGCATGTGGTTCATAATGTCTTATTCTCATCAAGTTATTATTCTTCATTACAAATATGTTTTTTTTAAAGGAGAGAAAAACATATGGATTTCTGCCGACATGCCACAGAGTCATTATTTCCATGCTCCATGAAACATACAGACAAAAATAACTCTTGTCAATCAACAAGGTAATCAGTTTCTAGTACATGACTGTTTTTGAACTAACCAAGTAGCAGTTTCATATGATTCAATCTACTCTTCAGAAATCCTTAATCGTTTGCTTGTATGATTTCTTCAATTGATTTAAGTGAAGCCACTCAGGCCTCGACTATGGAGTATGTACATGATTTCACAAGCTCCTCAAGTTTTCAGGTGTGTCCATGCTCTATAGCAAGCTGCCATGCGAACTAAACTAGGATCAGTCAGTAATTCTGATTGATATGCTAAAAATGCCATGCAGTGAATGGTCATTCTGAAGAGACTGCATTAAGTATTTTAAACAGTGATTGTGTGATACATTACCATTGGGTTTGCTTCATCTTCTGTAACCACCTTTGGACTGAAGGGTGGCATCACCTTGCTTTGGAATCCTTTAAGCATTTTGACTAACCCCATCTGAACAGCCCCCATGGACTTCTCAAGTCTGCTACTTTGCATTGTTATAGCTATTTTCTTGACTCACCTAAGAGTGGGGAGAAGAAAAAATAGAAGTTTTAAAACAAATGCAGCTAACTTCTGAACACTAGTCACAAATCAAGAAGCTCTGGCAGCATAGTGGTTATGAATTGGGTTGCTAAGCTAAGGTCAGCAGTTCAAAACTACTAGCTCTTCCACGGGAGAAAGATGAGGCTTTCTGCTCCTGTAAAGGTTTACAGCCTTGGAAACCCTGTACAGGGTTACTATGAGTCAGAACCGACGCCACGGCACATAACCAAACCAAAACAAAATCACAAATCACTGATTTCGAAACTTTTCAAATGTAGGAAAATACAGATCTTCAAAAACACATCCAATGCTTAGAACAAATGTGTTAATAAACAGTCCATTTACATAAGACTGTTATGCCCAGAATTCGGGGTCCCCAAAGACCACTCAGGAGCCGTGTACCGATGCAAATACATAAGGGAAGTTTATTCAAGCTCGAGCCAGGTCTCTAACCTTATCCGACACTTCGGAATAGGGAAAGAGCCCCGAATTCATTGTCTGCAGGGTTTTTATAGAATTTTCAAACAGCTCAGGTTTCTCAGCTTTACAATCTTTGGATTGGTTAACAATTGGCAAACTATGAGATGTTACAGTTTAATTGGTCAGGACTGGTGGTCTTTGTTCTTAGGCTAGGGTAAAGGAAAACATCTGGCCTCTGGCCTTGAGCTGCCTGGCTATTTATACATATATCATTTTCTTGGAGCTAGAGGACGTGTTCAGGCTAATGTACAGAATGGAGATTGACCTTGTCTCTGGAGGGAACTAATAACTGAGGCCTTGTCTATTTAAAATGCTTTCCTGAGCCTGACTAGAGTTTAGTCAAGCAGTTTCTAGGTAGGTAAAATCAGTTTAGTCCTTACAAGACTAGTTTAGATTTAACCTTTTCCCACATCCCAGAAGACTTTTTCAGCAGACCAAGGGATTCTAGACTAAGCTCAGGAAAGATACGGAAATTCAGGCAGTTCTTACTTTTTACCACTTTTATTATTCCAGTGAGATAAAAATAAATAAATACTGTGACTTGTAATCCGCATACTTGTCAGTGCTCTCTCATGATATGCTGTCCTGAAAACAGGATAACCATCAGTATTCGGGGATCCACAGCTGGGAAGAGACTGGAATGGAGCAGCATGAAATGGGGGAAATAAAGCTTCTGAAAAAGGTTTGACATTTATAGTCATATCACGGCTGCTGCTTCGCTACATGCCATCAAGTGGGTTCCAACTCAGAGCGACCCTGTACCGAGTTCCCAAAGCTATAAAATAAATTAAAAAAAAAAAAAAAAAGAAAGAAAGCCTCATCTTTCTCCTTCAGAGCAACTGGTGGATTCAAACTGTCGACCTTGAGGTTAGCAGTCCAACATGTAACCCACTATGATCCCAGGGCTCCTTCCTTGAAAGCCATACAGTAAACCACTAAATAACCTCCCAATATCTCCAAATCAAAGAAATAAAACATTTTGTTTTTCCATATCCTTCCTCAGACTTCTGGGACCCATTTATGAATATTTTCATTATTAACAGGATCAGTTATTTACAACAACTTCCATAGAGGAAAACCAAAATGCTTGATAAAATAACTAATAAAAATCCTCAAGGTTACCAAAGAGTTGACAACACTGTAAAGCATTGTCAAACCACATTCTAAGGAAAAGAGGTGTACAATGGAAAATTAATTTGAATGACAAAATGAACTAAGGTACAATGAAGAGAAGTAAAAATATAATAAAGAAAGTATATTTTTTTTGTTTTGTTTTTTAAGGAAAAAGTGTCAGAGAAAAATAGTTGAAATAAATGACAGCAAATAAAATGCCATAACTGGATCCCATGAAGAAAAAAAAGTACTGAAATAAAATCAATGTTTAAACTATAAACTACAAAAACTCTTCAAAAGTAAAATAAAACATAATTTAAATGACCCAGTATGTACCAAGGAAAACTAGGTCAGAATCATCAACTCTGAGACATTAGAATGATGAGACTTTTATGGGTTTGTTTAAATCCTCAGGCTCTCCAGGTAAAATAGCTTAAAAGGGAAAGAGAATTAATTATATGTTCCTTTAATAAAGCAAGATATGAAACAAGACAACACTGGAACAGCATTTTCCAAAAACTTTAAAATGCTTGAGTCAAGAATTTTATAAGCAGCCGAGCCCTGGTGTGGCATTGTAGGATAAGCACTGGATCACTAACCACAAGACTGGCAGTTCAAGCTTACCAGCCGCTCTTGAAAACCCCACCCAGGGTCGCTATGAGCCTGAACCAACTCAACAACACCCAACAGCAACAGCAAGCTCTTCTTCCACGAGCAAGTTTTTAGAAAGAATTATGAACATTTTCAACTTTAGTGAATGTTGTCAACATGTGCCCTTCCTGAGGAATGTACTAGAGGATGAGCTTCATCTAACCGAAAAGTGATCTGGAAGCTCTGGCTAAAGGACTGACAATTACCCCGAAATCTTCTTAAAACCTAACAAAAGTTTAACTTAACTAGTAAAAAGTATTGGTCTTGAGCACTGTGCTCTCTTAAGAATGATCTAGATGGGATCAAAGTGACAACAGCAACTTGAAGATTAAATTGGAAATGTACGGGGCAGTGAGTTTCTATTAACAGAGGAGGACTTGCTCAGAAAAGGAGAAGGAGAAGGGCTGCACAGCTCGAAGAACATAACCATTATCACCAATAGTACATGCATGAACTGTTGATGAACTGTGTCTTTTACAATATCTATTCTTAAAAACAAAATTAATTTAACAATTTTTTTGTTAGAGAACTGACAAGCATTTCATGTATTTAATGGTAGTTGTTGTTGTTGTTGTTAAGTGCCATCGAGTCACTTCCGAACCATAGTGACCCTGTATAGGGCTTCCGAGGAGCAGCTGGTGAGCTTGAACTGACAACCTTGCAGCTCAAATGGCTTTGCAGTCTGGCGCATTAACCCATAAAGCCACACCAGGACTCCATTTAATTGTAGAGCTAAGATTAAAACATAATATGAAGCTGAACGTGGCATGAGGATAGGAGGAAGACTCATGAACAACCTGTAATATGCAGATGACAAAGCCTTGCTTGCTAACAGTGAAGAGAAAAACTTACTGATGAAGATCAAAGCCTCAGTATAGACTGCACTTCAATGTAAAGAAAACAAAAATCCTCACAAGAGGACCAGTAAATAACATCATGATAAGGATTTAAGTTGTCAAAAACTTCATTTTGCTTAGATCCATAATCAACACTCATGGAAGCAGCAGTTAAGAAATCAAAGAGTGGATTGCATTAGGCAAAGCTTTTGCCAAAGACCTCTTTAAAGTGCTCAAGAACAAAGATGTCAGTTTGAGGGCTAAGTTGTGACTTACCCAAGCCATGGTACTTTCAATGAACTCATATGTGAAAGTTGGACAACGGATAAGGGAGACCATAGAAGTACAGATGCATTTGAATTACAATGTTGGAGACGAATACTGAAAGCACCAAGAATTAGCAGAAAAACAAACAAATCTGTCTTAGAAGAACTACAATCATAATGTGCCTTAGAAGTGACAATGGTGAGACTTTGTCTCTCATTCTTTAGGCATGTGGTCAGGTAGAATCAATCCCTGGAGAAGGCTGTGATGCTTGGCAAAATCGAGGGTCAATGAAAAAGAGGAAAATCCCACCAAGATGGATTGACACCGTGACAGCAACAAACAACTACTGTGACAACGGTGCGGCACCAGGCAATGTTTCATTCTGCTGTGCACAGGGTCACTATGAAGTGAAACCAACATGACGGTACCTAACAATAAGATTAAAATACAGCTAAGGACATGAGGAGAATAGTATAAAAAAATGCTTTCTGATAAAGCATAAAGAAAGCGATTTAAAAGAAGAAAAGAGGTAGAGAATATAGAATAAGATCACTGACTATTGTACAACCAATAAGAGGGAATCAAAGTAATAGGCCAAGAAGTAAAATAGGGTGATTATGGGCATTATAGTGAGAAACGTCTTAGATGGCAGCTGGTGACGCCTGCTTTCAGGGATGCATATATACAATCCCCTTTCCTGTAATGTGGGCCTGCCGTAAGTACTCAACTTCTCAAAACCAGAATCAGTATAAGGGATGGAATGTCACTTCTGAAATGAGCTTATAAAAAGCCTGTGGCTTCCATCTGGGGCACCCATGGTTGTCTCTTTCTTAGCTCACCAGCTGCCACATTTTGAGGACACTTGGCAAGCCTCCAGTGAGGTCCATGTAGTGAGGAACCAAGACCTGCCAGCAATGGCATGAATGGGGTTAGCACTGGACCTTCTGAGACCTGTCAGCAGCCATGTGAATGAGCCTAGAGTCAAACTTTCCAGCCCCCGGATGGCTACAATCCTGGCCAACAACTTTTTTAACTGCTAGAGTACCTTTCCTGCTTTCCCAGAAATCCTATTTGAGTTAGAAACATTTTCACATCCTTTTGATGCATCAGTGTTTTATCAGTCTCAATATTCAAACAAAGTTTTGAGTGAGGTAAGGGTAGGGCATTTATCTATAAGGGGGTGATAAAAGCAGAGAAAAAAAATTTAAAGCAGGGATTAAAATACTTATTGATGAAGATCAAAGACCACAGCCTTCAGTATGGGTTGCACATCAATGTAAAGAAGACAAAAATTCTCACCACTGGACCAAATAAATATCATGCAGATTCATGGATAAAAAACTGAAGTTGTCAAAGACTTAATTTTGCTCAGATCAACCATCAACACTCATGGAAGCAGCACTCAAGAAATCAAATGATGTACTGCAGGTGGTAAATCTGCTGCACAAGAGCTCTTTAAAGTGTTCAAGAGCAAAGATAATCAGTTTGAGGACTAAGGTGCACCTGACCCAAACCATGGTATTTTCAGCAATATCATATACATATGAAAGTTGGAGAGTGAATAAGGAAGACCATAGAAGAATTGATGCATTTGAGTTATAGTGT